TGCAACAATCAAAATTTCACAAAGTTTTTCTTAGAGTATATAAGAATTTCCGAAAAAGTGACACCCAAAAAGTGACACTTTCAATAGGGAGTAACAGTTAAAAAGTGACAATTTAAAATTCACAATAAATAAAAATAATAAATTTTTTAGTCTATTAAATTATTCTTTTCTTTGAAATCCTCCAAAAATTCTTCGAAATGTTCTAAAATATAATCTGGAGAATTATAACAAAATTCATTAATTTCTAAATATACGTATCTAACAATTCATTTGGAATTTCAAACGATCTTAAATATGTAATTGAATTTTGTATCTTCTCATTTATTTGAGAAAGTTTTTCTTCAGCATTTTCCAATAAAAATCTTAATGGATTCAAATTGGCTTCTTGATTCTGAACAAAATTTAATACTTGGTATAAACGTGATTGAACTTCTCTTTTCAATTTTGTTTTATAATCTGTCAATCGAGGCTCGCGAATTCTAATTGAAGGAATAAAACCTGTTTGAAGTAAATCGTTTTTAATACGATAAAAGTAATTGGGTGCAACTTCTTCTAAAAGATTTTTGACAAAACACAAATTCTTTGATTTTTTAACGCAGCCAAAATCGTGATATTTTATCTTTTTAAATAAAGATTCAGAACGTTATTCACAACGGTTAATTCATTTGGTCTGGCAGCGGCTATCCACATCATAGCCAACAATTCCTTATACAAAATTCAAAAACTTTGGTGCAATCAGTTCTGATTGCACCCAAGTTTTTGAACTTTCTTGAGGGAATTAAAGGGTGAGAGATTTATAGTCTATCTATATATCTCCCACCCTCTAATTCCCTCCCTGACAGCGGGAAACTTTGTCTGAATGTTAAACTATTCAGACAAAGTTTCCCACTGTTTGCGAAGGAATTGTTGGCTATGATGTACTGATTCATGATCAGTACAACATAGCCAACAATTCCCTATATAAAGTTCAAAAACTTGGGTGCAATCAGAACTGATTGCACCCAAGTTTTTGAACTTTCTTGAGGGAATGGAAGAGTAAGAGGTATACATTATGAATATATACCTCTTACCCTTCCATTCCCTCTCTGACAGCGGGAAACTTTGTCTGAATGTTAAACTATTCAGACAAAGTTTCCCGCTGTCAGCGAAAGAATTGTTCCATCTGGTGCATAGAGTGTGAATCTATGCACCAAATGGAGCAAGTCCCTCGCGAAATTGCCCAAACTTGCGTCGCATTTCAAAGATTGCGACCCAAATTTTGGCGATTTCTAGTAGAGATGGAGTATTTTGAGTCACTGACCTATATGCAGTGGCTCAAAGGGCTCCATCTCTACTTTGAAGCAAGGAAACTTTCCTCGAAATTTTGATAATTTGAAGAAAGTTTTCAAGCAATTAACAAAGGATTACTCGCTATGAGGTAAAAATTCTAGATTTTCACCTCATAGCGAGAGCTTCCCTTTCATTGCTTGAAAACTTTCCCCAGCTTCAAAATTGGGGAAAGGGCTGTAAAGTCGACTCCGATACCAGCAGGTACCAGAGTATTTAAAGAGAAGCCCTCGTACGAGTTTCTATGAAGACCTTCTCATTCAAGAAGATCTTAATAGAAAATCGTACGAGGGCATTGGAAACTCGCGTCTGGTACATGTTGGTACCAGAGTGTTTGAGATTTGAAGACTCTGGTACTAACATGTACCAGAATTTATGATGAATTTAAGATGGACCATTATAAAATGGTAGCGGTTTGCTTCAAAAAATTTTAGATGAGATTTGCATAGATATAGATTATATGATTTATACATATGAAAAATAATATATAAAAATATAATTTTGAGATAATTATGTAAATAATATTATAAATATTTGAATTTGAGGTATAATTTTATAGTAAAATATATAAAAGAGTATTTATATAAATATTGTAAAATAATATAAGTAATAAAAATTGGAGACCCCCTCCCTGTTTTTGATGTTTTGTCACTTTTTCGGTAATTCTTATTGTTTCCTTTATTTCTCACGACATTATACATTTTGTTCAGAAGTAAATCTCCGAATACAGTTGCAACAATCAAAATTTCACAAAGTTTTTCTTATGATACATACAGTGCTTATGATAAGGACAAGCTCGAATATCTTTGCAACCAATCAATTTCTTTTGGATCCCAGCCAAAATACAAAATATTCGGAATTCAAAAGTTATTAATTGGCAGAAATCAAACAAAACTTAATTTTATAAGGAACAATACGTAGTATTTACTGATTATCGCAACATTTCGGAGAAGCAAGAACTTCAGAAGTATCTTTAGAAATTCTTGGAAATACACAATATTCAGCAATTTATTTCGCTCACACAGGTACAATTACATTAGAATCCTCCAGTGACGAACCTATTCCATGTAATTTTGTTGTTTTTAATTTGAATTATTATGATTGCACTTCGATTATCACAAATGTAAGGTCTAATTACAAATTCACTTCTCAGGACACAGCTCATACATGTGTTTTACTGCTTTCACAAAATGGAACAGTTCATTTTCGAAGATGGTGATATTTATGATGTCTATGGAAAAATAAATAGAGCTAATATTATTGTTGAAAAAACCTTTTCTAACAATAACTAATTCTAAACACGATTACTTATTTTTTTATCATGCTGGCGACAAATATAATACATCATATTTAATCAAAGGAAATAATTCAAACTCATAGATCTCTTATCATTTTTGATAATTCGTATCATGAAATAAATTCATCAGAACCAGTTGAAACAAAAATCAGATGATCATAATTATTCTGATGATGATAGTGTTGTAACAAGAAATTCATCAAAAGTGACACCTCAGAAAAGCTAAAATATTGAATTTTTGGAACTTTTGATAGAGCACGTTTTTAAAATATTAATTAAAGTAAATGTATATTTTGTAAAGATTCTTTTTTAATAAAAAAAATAAAATTTTGAAGAAGAACACAAAATCTTCTGAAAAATAATATCACATAAACTCATATTATTTTTCTAATATATAACTATTTTATATAAAAATCAAATTCAATGATCTTTAAAACGAAGGATAAACCTCAAAATTTACGAAAATAATGAGTGGGAATATAATGCTTATCTATCAATAAAACCATATGAAATATCAATTTTTGCTTTACGCCTAATTTTTGACGACAATTAGCAAAAAATGTTAAATGTTAACACTCAGTCCATTTGAATATGAAAAATAAAATTGACTTTGATTAAATGTTTTTATTTATCATGCAATTCTTCTTGCGACCAAAGATTTTGAATAAATTTCAAAAAATAAGATAGCTGAAAAAATAAATATACGGTAGTGTTTACTAATAGATGAATAGTATATAAATTCTATTAAAATGGATTTGATCCAAAAAAATATAAAACCAAAAATAATTGTTATAATTTAAATGAAGAAGTAATTTAAAACGATTTTATTTATGATCAAATTTTATATATTTTTTTGGATGAAATCCATTTTAATAGAATTTATATACTATTCATCTATTAGTAAACACTACCGTATATTATTTTTTTCAGCTATCTTATTTTTTGAAATTTTATTCAAATCTTTGTCGCAAGAAGAATTGCATGATAAATAAAAACATTTAATCAAAGTCAATTTTATTTTTCATATTCAAATGGACTGAGTGTTAACATTTAACATTTTTTGCTAATTGTCGTCAAAAATTAGGCGTAAAGCAAAAATTGATATTTCATATGGTTTTATGATAGATAAGCATTATATTCCCACTCATTATATTCGTAAATTTTGAGGTTTATCCTTCGCTTTTAAGATCATTGAATTTGATTTTTATATAAAAAAAAAAAAAAAAAAAAAAAAAAAAAAGGTAGTGGGGCTTCCAGGGGCTGCGCCCCTTCTAGCCCCGAAGATGTTTAGTATAAAATGAGGTTTTTATTCGGAAAATTGTTAGTCTTCTGGTGTGAATTCGGAGGACTCTTCGTGTTTCTCTTCTTCGTGTTTCTCTTCTTCTTCCTCTTCCATTGCTTCTGGGAAGAAGTCTTCTTCTGGGTCGAAAACATTATATAATGTGTAATTGAATGACACATTATATCTTTGTTTGAGTTCGCTCTTGACAAAGAACTTAGTTCCAGGAATACAGAAGACTTCTGTGCGTTGGAAAAGCTGATGTCCTGGAACAAATTTGGCAATTAGAGACTTCTTTTTTCCGAATTGTTCAGGAGTTTCCATGACGACAGTAACAACATCTCCATCTGCGAGGTCTTGTTGTTGTTCGGAAAGGTAAAGAGCAATGATATAAATGGTTGCTGCGTTGAATTCGAGAAAGTCGAATTCAAATTGTGTAGTCGTATAGCAGTCAAACCATTTTGTACAGTTGTCTCCGAACTCGTCAATGTATTCATCTTGGTCATATCCGTAACTAAAGACTTGGAATTCGGCAATTGTCTTGTCGAATGACCGTTGGATGTTACGAGGAAGATTTTGACGAACTTGGTATAAAGTTCTCAACATTATAAGCTTAGTAAATGTTGGAAAATACTGAACTAAGACATCGCTAAGCTCAATTGGACTTGGAATTGTCTTAGTAAGTTCAATTGAACTAGCAATTGCTTTGTTCAGAACTTCACAGAACTGAGTATTGTATATAGCGTCTGGTTGTGTGTTTTCTTCGGCGTCTTTGAGATATTTAGAGCAAATTTGTTGAAGAATTTCTCTTAATTCGCTGTTAGACTTTTTGGCGGTTATTCTAACAGCTGTGCCAGTTCTTGGAGGTTGTGGGGCTTTGGCTTTGGTTAGCGGTTGAGAATTGTTAATGTTGGCTTCCATTAGACAAAAATAAACTGTTTTTTTCGGACTACTCATAGAAAAGTTTAAAATAAACCGTTTTCGTCAACGGTAACCCCTTCTATAATTTTATTTTATTTAATAGTTACCGTTGGAAAACCGTTCCATCTCAAATATTGAATGAACTATAAACGTTTTTTGTTTTCTATACATACTTTTTTGTCCAACGGTAAAACTTTTTACACAACGGTTTTTGAGAGTCGTAGCCGTTGACTTTTTTGTAGAGCACTCAAAATAGTATAACTTTGTTCGGACAAGTAAGGGTCTATCGTCGCTACAGGAAAAGTTACAGGCGTTCCAAGGAAGTATACTTTGAGAAGCCTTTTCCCCTTATAGAATGAGATAGGACGGTTATTTTACAAAACTGACAACACTTTGACCGAGTAGTTTTTTGTGCTGAACAAGAAGTGTCATATAAACATCTGTCAAAAGCCGCTTTTTAACTTCACTTAAAATGCCACGTAAGCTACGTAAGAATATACATAAGAGGAAGAGAGCATTGAAACATCCAATAGTAAAACTGACACCACAACAACAGTTGCAACAACAAATTATGAATGACCCCACTATGTTGCAACAAATGTCAAGCAACCCTATGCTTTTAAACCGAGTTATTGGTGCACAGAGTGGAGGTTTAAGAGCGGCACTTTTAGCGAAAATGGCAGGCTATGGTGGAGCTGCAGACGGAACAGCATATAACCCTCAAAGTCAAATGAATTTGAGTTCACTCAAAAATCAAATAACAGATGTCAAAAAGTCAAACATAGACATACAGAAGCAAATAAGTGAAAACGAAAAGAAACTAGAATATGACAGACACACAAAGAAACTCAATGAGTTAAACGTAGAGAAAAAGAAGAAAGAAGAACAACTGAAAGAACTAAGTACAGAGGAATATGCGAAAAAAGTGTCAGAAAAAGCAGCAGAAGTAGCAAAAATGGAACAAGATGTCATAAATTTGAAAAACCATACTACTCGATATAAAGTACTGAAAGATGAAGAGATAAAACAAAAAGCCCTGAAGACATATATGGATAGCGATGAGTATAAAAAAGAAGTTGAAGCAAATGTAAAGGCAGAAAAACTTTTACAGTTGCAAAACCAAACCGTACAGTATGAAAACTTAGCACAAGAAAGTAAAAATAACGACGCAGCCATGCAAAAGGCAATGAAAAGCGCGGAATATATAAAAGCTAACAATGACTGGTTAGATGCCCAAGCCAACGCTAAAGCAGCCCAGCTTATAGGGTCAATAAGGACAAAAATACAAGCGGATGAAGACAGTTCAAATGAAGCTTTAACGAATGCTGACTTTAAGAACGCCTTCGAAGCTCTTCATAGTAAGGTGAAACAAGTGAACGACTTCTCATCTGGAAAGAAACTGAAGTCTGAAGGTTTCGACAAAGAGTTAAAAGAAGTAGCACAAAATATGACGAAAATAACAGATGCAGCAACGAGACAGGCAGTTCAAAGTGCTATGACGCCGTTAGAGCAACTGTTGTGAAAAGTCAAGAAAAAGAGTTACAACAGACCAAAACAGACCTAGTAAATGCTTTCTTAAAAACGAAAAGTCAGGTAGGACATTACGCTGCAGATGGAACATATGTGCCAGCTGGTGGAACTTATATACCACCAAACCCTCCAAGAGAAGCACCTGCACCAGGACTACCTAAAACATTTACATCGTCACATGGACACAGACACAGGCATGCACAACAACCAACAGTTCAAAACCCTGCACAACAACCAACACAACAACCAACACAACAACCAGCACAGCAACCAACAGTTCAAAACCCTGCACAACAACAACCACAAACAGAGCAAGGACATAAAAGAAGTAGAGAACAAGGAAACCAAGAATTCTTAAAAATGCTTAAAGAAGAGTGTGGTTTCCCAGATACTGTTGACTTTAGTGACAGATATAAAGAAGCTATTGGAAAGTTCAAGGATGGAAATACTGACCCGAACCTATTTAGCTTTATGGCTCAGCACCAAAACGGATATAATCTCAAACCTGGAAAATACAAGCTCGCTAAGGGATATGATTTAATAGCATATCATCCAAATGACATGGATGAATTTACTCCGAGATATTTGATGTCAGAGCTAAATGACAATTCAACTTTCGTCATGAAACGCGTAAAAAATAGAGACGGAACGAAAGAACAAAAGCTTATGAATGCGGATGACGTAGATAGGGAAATTGTTAAAAACGGTCTCGGAATATATGAAATGCCAGCAGATGAGGTACAAGAAACTCCACAGGAAGAAATAGTTCAGATACAACCAGACATGGAAGAAATAGTTCAGCAACAACAGCTAGAAGAGCCTGAAGGAAACGAACAAGTCACTCCTTTGGAAACTAACTTCACAGAACTAGATGAAGATTTGGAACAGCCGAAAAATCTTGACCCTCAACAAGAGTATGCGGAGAATATGGAATATTTCCAAGAGTCTAAAAAAAATTCGGCTGACATAGTAGAAGAATATCGAAAAATGTTTGCCGACATACAAAAGACTCCAGCACCAGATGAAAATATTCAGCATAGAATGGAAGAACTGAAAAAAAATGTACACAAATACAACAACCCTTTTTACTTACGAGCATTTAACGTTCAATCTTCGATGAACTCGGTGAAGATAAAAGGTTAAATTTCAAGAAAACATATAGAAATGAAACATTGTTTAAAGTTCATTCAGAACCTAGCCAAGATGGAAACAAACCTACTTTTGTTTCTGCAGACGATGGAACTACAATGAGATGGGGTCATAAAGCTAATCCAGATAGGTGGTTCATAAACTTACAACCACAATTCCAAGAAGTTGTAGACGCAATGGAAGTCAATGGTGAACCAGATATAGCTGGTATTTTCAGCGCGGCTTTAATGCCATTGAAAGATATGAAACATGCAGATATTTTGGACCAGTATGAAATGAACATGGCTGATGGAAATATAACACCTGACGTTCTAGAACATTTATCTCAAAAAAACTACACAGAACCATAGAGATGGTATATTTGGTGAAGAGTTTAGAAAGAAAGTTAGGGAGGGAGAAGGAAGAGAACCTATTGTACATGACCTTGCAAATGAAAGTTTACAAAATGTCATAAAAACTTACTTTGCAGACAATGAACTGAGAAGGGATGAATATTTAAGAAAACTCAAATGGACAGTACCAAATGAAATGTTAGTATTGAAAAACATGTTCCTTGACAAAATAAAACCAACTACAGAAATAAACGACGCAAGACTGAAAGATTGGGTAAAAGCTTTCCCATTCACAAAAGATATAGTTGGTAACATGGAAAGAAAACCAGAATGGCTACAAAAACATATATTTGGAAACGAGCTTATTCCATATGGACAGGCACTGTTTTGAAGAGCTTGAACCAGAAACTCAGGACAGAAGTCATGCAAACAATAAGCGACGACTCAAATACAAACTATGACAAACTCTTTCTAGGATATAGGTTACCTGAGATGGGCGACCAGAGCAAAAGGCAAAAAGGACATGGGAAATTTGCAACATACTAGATGAACATAATGCAAAGATGCAACAACTTCAAGCAGAGGGCAATGAAGGAAAAAGAAGAGTTAAAAACTCAGTCAGGAAGAAAGTAAAGCTTGGTCCACGTGGGTTCTATTATGACATATAAATCCAACTATTCTATATTTTTACTCATATGAAATGTACGCCGCTCAGAATATAACGCCAACAGTTTTGGATGCTATGAATGGAAATGTTTCCGAATGGTATAACGAATGCGACAATGCCATTAGAAGGTCAGAAATAGTTCCTGGAACTTACGAATATACAAACTGCTGTTTCTTATGGAAACGTAGGTGAGTTTGGAGAAGGTTCTTCAACAACAGTAGATATTGCTTGCGACAGGTTTCATATAATTTCTATTGACAACTCTTTCTTATACGTGGAACAAGACATTGAAATAAAACCTTCTGCCAAGTTGTCTGACAAGAAAGGTTGCAATGGAATTTTCTATGTCGGATACCAATATGCTCCAGAAGTTTTTATGGGATATAAGATATATTCTAACTCTGACTTAGTTCAAACAGTAACATGGGCAAACTATGAATGGTTCGCTTTGAGAAACTCAGTACAACCACAAGCTAGAGAACAAACAGACCAGTATGCAACTATTGAGAAAATAAGAAGACTTGACCCTAACGTTCCAGGAGTTTATGTTGACCTTTCTGGACAAACTGCAGCAGCAGTAACCAAAGTAAAACTGAAACTTAGAGTTCCTTTGTCATCTTTCCTCATCTTCAGGTTTTTAAGATACTTGCCAAACTGGGCAGGAAAAATTTCTATCGAACTTACTCCAAGCAAAAATAACTTAGTCATTGCACCAACACAAGACCCATTCACTCTTACAGACGTAAAGGGAACAAATCAAACGTCATTCGCCGAATTTTGCAAAGACAAAGTTGACTTAGACTTTGGTTTCTCAAACTTCAACACTGAAGTAAACTACTATTTCAATGCTGCTGGAACTGCTTGGGACCCAGTTAAGTTCACATGCGAAAAATTTGAATGCAAGAGAATAGAAAGCAGACTTGCAGTCTATATGTTGGACCCAGATATTTCAAATGCTTTAGCTGCCAAATATATTGCAGTTCCACTTATGTTCCCTATACACCAAATATCTGTCAAAGACTTTGCAGGTGAAGTTGGAAACCAAAGTGCTGACCCAGGTGCAAGAACAGATATTGCTTTAACAACTGCAATGAAACATGCAGATACTATGTTTGTACTGTTCAGACGAACTATAAATGACTATTCTTGCTTCTACAACCCTGGTATTAAATACCATATAAACATAGATGGCAAATACTATCCAAGAGAAGAATATTCCACAGTTGAGGATATGAGGTCATACAACTTGACATTAGATGCTATGAACTTTAACAACAACTTCACAACAACCATTAACCCTGAAATGCAAAGTTCTATTATGCCATATGTGAAAGTATGGACCCATACAGGAGCTCAAAACACTCAATATACAAATGGAGACCGTTCAAACTTTTGGCTTGGCATTCCATTTGCTGACTCAGAAGACTTTATGGGTGGTATTTCAACTGTTGGTACAGTTCAAATACAATATACTGGTGACAGAGACGGTCCAAATGAATTGAAAGCAAAGAAGTTTACAAAACCAATAGCACTTTTCACGGAAGATGCTCTTTTGAAGATTCGTTCGATGAAACCTGCTGGGGCTCCTCAGATTGGTATAACGACAGCTTCCATCGAGCAGATTTTGGCAGCAGGTCAGTAAGTTGTTCTTGAACTGACTTCTCTCCGTCAAATATTGACAGTACGCCAGTTTTGACATAATATTGTATTATAAACTTACCTTTAGAAATATCTGTAAGTTTTGTTGTTATATTTTTGTCAACGTCAAGAACTTTCACCATCTCGGTTATACCAACTTTCTTTGCTTTATGAAAATATTTTGGTTCAGCAAAGACTGCTATTCTATAACATTTTCCATTGTTTGTGTAAAGAACTATTCTGTCAATGTATTTGTATTGTTTGTGTGTGTAAACTTTGTTCTGCTTCAATTCGAAGAGATACTCGAATACGTCCATCTTTTTATTCTAAGTAAAATGTCATTTCCGAAAAATAGAAGCGTAAGTGTTTCAAAAGGTTTAATGGCGGTGGCAGATGTGAAGTTAAATTCACCAACTCAAACAAACAGTCAAAGTGTTGTTGTCAATGTCAAAGAAAGAGATGTTGAAGTGGGGAAACCATACGAAGACGAAGATGGTATAACAATAGTTCCTGTAAAAGAACAACCAACATATCCTGAAGTTAGCAGAGACTTAAGTTCTGTTGCAGATATTCGAAATGACTACCAACAACTTAAAGACAAACTTAAAACTCAGGAGAAGATTTGTCAGGCTTTGGGTATAATGTTAAACTTGGTTGAGCACAACCCTGTAAAAGTGAACTCATATGTCATTGCACCTCATGAAGTTTTGAAAGAACTATTGAAACTTTTGACAGAGGCAGACGATATAAACATCAAAGAAATAGAACCCGACGTTAGTTGCTGTGGTGTTTCATATAATGTCATTGACAAGATATACGTTATGAAAGGAGGTGAAACGTTGAACTTAAAATATAGTTTCCCAGACGTCATAAAAATATTTGACGACCACAACATTTCATTAAAATTTAGTTGCTAAGTAAATGGCAGAAGACATAGTGGTTTATACTATTACGACTAAAAACCCCGAGTCATATAATTCTATAACAACAAACTTACAAAGTCCTCAAGGACGATATTGTAAAACTGACCTTAAACACGATGACGACTAAAGCCTGTTTTGCTCTTTTGACACCAGAAGACTTTGTTGTTGTGAATGGTAAAAATACTTCTTTGAAGATACTTACTCAGATATACCACCAACAGGTTTTGTTGACTTATTTAATACTTTAAGGACGGATGTAACATGTGCTGCAACTAGAGCAGGTTTCATTATGTTTGGATGTCCGACTGAGTTTACTATAAACGATATGAGCTATAATACAAAACTTATATCTGGTTTTTACTACCAACAGTTTCCTATAACAGGAAAAGGTGTCATACAAGGTTTGTCTGTTCCATTGACTTTAAGTACACCTATTTTATATATTGTTTCAAACTTAGGTTCAAAGTGTTATTCGAATGTCGACAGAAACTACTATGACCAAAAGATACTCATGCGTATAAACAACACTTTCTCTGCTGGTTTGCCTATTGTTCATTCGAATGCAGAGTTTTCAGCTTTAGTAAACTCAAACACTTTAGCAAACATAAACTTAACCTTAGTTGACGCAAACTTTGTTCCTGTAAAACTTTTATGTCCTATGTATTTGTCAATGACGGCAGAAAGTTTCGAATTGGAAGATGCAACTGGTGAAAGTATTGTACTACAAGAACAACTTCAACAACAAATAGCTCAAGAACAACAAATGCAACAAATGGAACAAATGCAACAACAAAGTCAAGAATAAAAAAATATTTTTTTTATTTTTATAAAAATGTACAGAATAGACGTTTCAGATTTTTATGACTTCCAAGCGTTCAGAAATATGTGTCCATTTAGAGACTATAACAAAGCAGTCGAGAATTTGAAACGTTTAGTCATTTATGTCGACTCTGCCCCAGAATGTTATGTCATGAAAGAATGGGATGTTGTCTTTAACAAACCAAGAGCAACAATAGTTTCAGAACAAGAATGTAGACAGAAACTTAAGAAAATAAAAGTCGTACAAGTTGGCATGAAGATGTTAGATGCTTGGGATATCTTATTGTCAAAGTTAGAAGATTTTTCAGTTCGAGGTATAAAGTTCTATACACCTTCTCCAAACTTCTATTCTATCTTCACTGGATATAAATACGAACAAGTAGAATGGAAAGAAAATATTATAGAAGCTTGGTTAGACCATGTCAAAGAAATTATATGCAATGGAAACGAAAAGGTTTATGAGTATATCTTATGTTGGTTTGCAAACATCTTACAATATCCAAGTGCTAAAAATGAAACTGCTCTCATTATAATTGGAAAACAAGGAACTGGTAAGAACACTTTCTTTACAGATATTTTGTGCAAACTGTTAGAGGGCTATTCGAACCCTAATATGACAAACTTAGAAAACATCTGCGGTAAATTTAACTCTTCAATAGAGAATATGAAACTTATAGTTTGCAATGAACTTCAAAGTATAGATACAACAAAAGTTTTGAACTCAGATGCTTTGAAGAGTCTTATAACAGACAAAGTTGGAGTTGTTGAAAGAAAGTATAAAGACTCAAGAGTTTGTGAAAATGTTGCAAACTTCATTATGGTTTCAAACAATGTTGTTCCGATGAAGTTAGAAAGTTCTGACAGAAGATATGTAGTTGTCAGAACGTCAGATTCTCATATGCAAGATACAGAATATTTTGACGACTTAGCAGAAACTTTGACATCTGACTTTTACAACCACTTGTTCTCATATTTTATGACATTAGATATTTCTAAGTTCAATCCAAGACAAATTCCATATACCGAAGAGAGACAAACATTGTTAGAAGCAAACAAGAGTGTATATGAACTGTTTATAGATGAGACTAACTTTGAGTGTTTAGATGAAAGGTCATTGTACGATGAATATAAACAATATTGTCAAGAATATGGTTATATGACAGCTTCTAAACGTACATTCTTGGCAAATGTCAAAAATCTTTTAGATGTTCAGAATGGCGTATATACAAAGAAAAATTTTTATGAGTAAATTTAAAAAAAATATTTTTTTATTTTATTTGAAATGTACGCTGAGTTTGTTGGAGAAGACCGTTGGGAAACTTGTTTGTTAGATGAGAAATATGAAATTCACTGTTGTGAGTCATTTGAAGTCAGAAACAAAGAGACAAAAAGAGTTTTAAGCGGATGGGAGCAAAATAACGGATATGCGCTATTCTGGTTAGATTGTCCTTATGAAATGTATGAAAAAAAGGCTTTATATGAAGAATATAGAAAATATTGTCATGAAAACGATATAAGACCAAGCTCTAGAGAAAAATTCTATGCTGGTATAAAACATCTTTTCGAAGTTCGGAATGGCAAATATAGAAAGAAATAATTTTTCTGAGTAAATTTTTAAAAAATATTTTTTTATCCGATAGAAAAGATGACGAAATATATTTCAGTCAACAAGTACATGACAGAAGTCAAAGAAGAACTAGACCCATTCATATATTTGAATGTTTACTTCTACCATTTTGAAAAGTCTACATTTGACAAAGTTTGGAACATCGAACCAGTTAAGTTTGCTATTGTGACTAAAAATGGTGCGAAATTTGAAGACTTAGACATAGAAGGTTTGTTAGCAGTCAAGGAAAATTTTGACAGAAGGTTTTCAAACCTTAAAGAAGGCAAAGCATACAAACTTGTTATACCTTATGAACCAAAGAAAGCAGACGACTATGAATATTATGAGTCTAAGATAGTTGAAGTTCAAGGTAAATTAGGTAAAAAGATTTTAGAGTCTAAGCCAGTGTTTGCTCCTAAAGAGGAAGAGAACATTGACATTGACCCAGAAATGTTCTAAAAATAAAATTTTATTTTTACATGTCAAATTTCTTTTTCTCTGGAACTGGTTCAGGTTCTTCTTTCTTCTTCTACTTTCTTTTCTTTCTTTTCTCTCTTCTTCTTCTTCTCTGGTGGAGTTATGTCAAATTTGGCGCAACCATATTTATGTAAAAGTTCTTTGTCCTTTAATAGCTCTTCTATTCTTTTCCTATTTCATCTTCAAGAACAGCGCATGTGTCTTCTTTGCATTCTAAGAACTTTTGTTGGACTTCATCTTCCAATCGGCGTCATCTCTGTCAACAAGTCTGTCATTGACAAACTTAAAGACTTCTCTGCCTAATGTTTTATGGTTCTTGTCATATTCCCAGAAACAGAACTTTAGAACAAATTCACCTTTCTTGTTTACACTATGTAAGATTTTATGGTCGACAGATGTTTTGCTGTCGAAAAGCTTGTCTCGAATATAGATAGCGAAATCGCTAGACATTTTCAAAAAGATAAAATTTTAATTTTTCTAAAAATATGTTAGAAAAAAAGTTTGCTGACATTGACAAAAAATTTGAGAATGTTTTGAAGAAGAACAAGAGGAAGTTAGAAAATGCTCAGATAAAACCCATACATGACAAGTTCCTATTTGCTCAGAATGGTATAACAGGTCTAATCGCACCACCTGGGTCGGGTAAGACTTTCACTTATCTTAAAATGGCTGCACAACAACAAGAACTAGATGAGAAGAACCCATTTTATGAGTTAGTTGTCATTTGTAGTACTTCGGGTCAATTTGACCAAACCGTCAATTCGTTCAAAGATATTATAAAGAAGTCTAAGTTAGTATGTATAAAGGATACTGAGTTGTTAGATTGGATAAAGAAGTACCAAAGAAGAGTTTTGAAGTATAATGCTATAAATGAGTATATAAATTCGAAGTTTAAAGACCCAAATGAGGAAATGCAGAGAATATTAGAGAAGAAACACTTCAGAAACAAACAGAAAGAGATAGAATACATTTCGAAGAAATTGCAATCGTACGATTGGAAGACTTACCCTCATAGATGTCTTCTTATCTTAGATGACTTTGCTTCTCATCCTTTGTTAAAGAACAGAGAACAAGACATGTGTCGAATTCTTAAGAAGCTCAGACACTTTAACATCTCTGTTGTCATTTGTGTACAGACAGCAAAGAGTTTAAGTAAGGATGTTAAAAGAATACTTACTGATATCATACTTTTCCCTGGATTGTCCGAAGACGATTTCATGGAACTTATGAAAGAGTCCATGGCAGGTAAGTTTGACAGACATGAACTATGGGAGAAGTACAAAGTCATACAAGACCCTCATACTTCTTTCAGAATTCACATCTACGCGAACAAAGTTCAAATTGTAAAAAGTCAATAAAAATAATGTTTAGGGTAGAAGGTTAGATATACCCTCTTTTCTACCCTCTTTTCTACCCCAGTTATTTTATAAGCGTTTTACATGGTAAACGTTATTTTTAAAATTTTGTGAAAACTCAACGGTTTGACACATGCCCTAAAAATTATTTTACTCAGAATTTTGTGCTGAATTCAATAAAAATATATTTTAGGGTAGAAGGTTAGATATAACCTGTTTTCTAACCTCTTTTCTACCCCAGTTATTTTATAAGCGTTTTACATGGTAAACATTGTGAATTCGTGAAATTCTAAACAGTTTTGTAGCTTCTATTTCTTCTGTCAGTACATCGAATGTTTTCACAATGCCGAAAGTTTCTTTATATTTCTTCTTGACGTCAGATAGAAGGAAATCGTCAGCTGTTGGATAGTTTTTGTTCAGAAATGTCAACATGTCCATTTTATCTTCTGCTGGTTTCTCTACTTCTTTCTTTAAGTCAGCATAGTCGTTTCGCATACGTTCTATCTCTTTGACGGAGTAGTTATATTTCCTCATTGCTGCTTTACATTTTGAACATTGCGGGTTCATTTTTGCGTTATATTCTGAAACCTTACCTGCTAGTATGACTAAGGCGTCAATTGCTCTCTTTAACTCAAAAGTTGCGGGTTTTATCTGTTCATTCCATATCTTACCTCTTCTATCTTTATCTCTTATCTGCCATACACATTCAGCAACTAACGAAACAAAGTTGTCGTAGGTCTTAAACTCCCCAGATTTGTATATGTCAGAGATGTTCTTATATACCATATCGCAATCTTTGTCCATGACTTTGTGGTTGCAATGAAATCCAAGAAACTCATAGTTAACCTTTCGTATGAACTTCTTTATTTCTACTGAGTCAGTTGCTTTGACTTCTATTTCATCGAATTCTGGAATAGTAAGCTTTTGTTGTTGGATTTCAGGCAATTTGGGTAAATGGTCAATAATATCCTGCATTTCATAAAGATACTGTTCATTTGTTTCATCTTTCGCACAACAGTCCAAAGTACTTGTTAAAAGTTCTTGCTTTATCTTCTGGATTTTTGTTTCGAAAGTATATGAAGAAGGAATGAAGTTTTTCATCTCTACTAACATAGATGTTGGATTCATGACTAAAGAGTTTGGTGCTGTTGTTGCTAACATGTTCTTACAATAAAAATAAAAAAATATTTTTTTAAAAAACCAACTTTATTTTTTATTTCGGGAAAACTCATGACAAATTCAAGAGGGTAGAAAAGAGGTTAGAAAAGAGGTTATATCTAACCTTCTACCCTAAAATATATTTTTGCCGAATTCATGAGTTTTGGTTGAAAGAATACGGTGGAGCCAAAAGTGGCTCGACCTCAAAACAAGCATTTTCTGTATAAAATTCATGAAAATTCAAGAGGGTAGAAAAGAGGTTAGAAAAGAGGTTATATCTAACCTTCTACCCTAAAATATATTTTTGCCGAATTCAGCAACAAAATTCAAATTGTAAACGGTTTAATAGAAAAAGTGTTATTTTTTCATGTCCGAAGACTCGAAGGTGCAACACTTCCAAAATACCGACGAACTCAGAAGAGCAGCATGGCAGTATGTTCTTGACAACTTCTTTGAGTTCTCCAGGAACACCTTGGAAAATGCTGAAGAACTCCGACACAGAGAATTTGGAGAAATTGCACTCCAATACTACCTTGACAAACAAAGGGTAAACAAAGGGTAAACAAAGGGTAAAATAAGACTAAAAACTTAACGTTTAAAAAGTGACATTTTTATGAGCTCCGAGTCACCGAGAAAACTTGGTCAGATGTTAGCAGCTTACTTCCCTGAGGAGGATGGAAGCGTTACATACGTAAGGTTCAAAAACAACGAACCTGGAATTGCGTACCAAATTCGCAATTACATGACCATGGAAGAGTACGAAAGGTTCCTACAAGAGAAACCAGCTCTAAACAACTCAGAAAAGAAAGAGTAAAAAGTTTAACTCGTAATTGTTTATTTTTTTACTTGTATGGGCAAGCTGCAAGAATGAAGTCGACTATCTCGGTCTTTGTCTTGACCAGTTGGACTGCTCTTGCGAGTACGTCTGTTTTGCGGTCTCCAGCTGGTGTCTGACCTTCGTAATTGCGCATGTTCTTGAGAGCTCCAACTGTAAATGGCTGTAGGATGAAGAGTCTCTCAGACTGCTTGAGGTAGTCTTCACGGTCACGAACCGAATCTGTGGTACGAGTCGAATCGGTCGATTTGAGGGAAGAGACTGAAAGCCTGTCATCTTCCATAGGGGCTGTGGCATACTCTTTGCGTAAACGGTTCAGACCTTCCTCGAACTCTTGGTCTCTCTTGGATTGAGATTGAGATTGGAATTGCTGGGGTGGAGCTTGCTGGAACATCCAAGGGTTGGGGAAGTAAGGCATAGGCTGAGGAGGGTAGTTCGGGAAGCCTTGTAGTGGAAATTGGTAGTAACCTTGAGGTGGAAATTGGTAGTAATTTGGTGGAGGTACTTGCTGGAACTGAGGTGCAGGGGCTGGTGCTTTAGGTTCTTCTGGCTTGGGAATGGACTCGGTTGGTGGGACGTCGGACATTGTCTTGAAACAGTACAAATATTGTTCTGAAGCAGTGCAAGTCTTGTTCTGAAAAAGTACAAGTATTGTTCTGAAGCAGTGCAAGTATTGTTCTGAAAAAGTACAAGTATTGTTCTGAAACAGTACAAGTATTGTTCTGAAAAAGTACAAGTATTGTTCTGAAAAAGTACAAGTCTTGTTCTGAAACAGAAAATTTTTCTCACAAATTGAGAGCTTTTACGGGAAATTTGTTCTGAAAAAGTACAAGTATTGTTCTGAAAAAGTACAAGTATTGTTCTGAAACAGTACAAGTATTGTTCTGAAAAAGTACAAGACTAGTTCTGAAACAGTACAAGTATTGTACTGAAAAAGTACAAGACTAGTTCTGAAACAGTACAAGTATTGTACTGAAAAAGTACAAGACTAGTTCTGAAACAGTAGCAATGGACGAGGTCGAGCCATTAGATGAGGCAATTTACCTTATAGAGATAAATGAAGTTGTTAAGCAGTACTTGGGCAAGGACAAAGCCAACAAGTCCCTCGGCTTCTGGTTGTCTGGAAGAGGTGCGCTGAAAATCGAAATTGAAACCGGAATTCCAATTCAAATACCAGAAAAAACTCCTGTAGACGACATAAAGGAGATGAAGAAAGAAGCTCTTCTCAAGTTCTTTGCAAAGCGCCCATGGATACAACTTCCAAACAGAGAGAGTCCAATTCCACGAATTATACAAATTCTCAGAGCACTGTTCCACTTCTCAGGACGGCCGTTCTTCATAACCTCAGAAGGCGACATCCAACCAATTCAGTAAACCTTAACGTTTAACTTCACTTTTTTATGTTTTTACTCACACTCGTACTCAACAGGTTTGTGTACAACTATTTCAACTGTGAACCTTGTATTGACCGGTCTTCCTGCAAATGCAAGTTCGGTCAATACACAATTTATGGTGGCAAGAAAGACAGTGGGGAATGTTATTCTGACATCTGTTGTTGCGCTCGAGAGAGAATTGAAATTCCAGACCCAACTCCAACACCAACACTCAAGTTGCCAAAGACTCATGTGAAGAAGAAGCCTTCTGGTAAGTTTCTTATAGCCATATACATGGCACGCTTTGAGTAAAAACATTTTTTTCATTTTTTGAATGAAGCAAGTTAAATTCGTCCCACACCAATCTCAATGGACCGATGAAGAGTTTCAAGCCATGGTTGAAGGCGTTGAGAACGACATAGACGGCGAACTTGAAGGAGCTCAAATCACAATTGCAACCAAAATTGCAGGAGTCAAGGAACAGATAGCTCCACTTAAAGCTACCAAAGCTACTCTTGACCTCATGGATAGTTACCGTTTAGATGTCAAGAGTGGAATAAGACATTTAAAATTAAAACTCTTAAATTACGAAGCTATACTCCAGAAGTTAGCAGAAATGAGAAGACTTTACCAGAGCTACTTACATGTAAGGGACTTACCTTCAAGCAGTCCGACCAAAGATGAATTTTCTGACATTGTCCCAATTTTGTCCGAAAGTCAGCTCAGATGTTTTGAACTGCTCCCAACATATCCAGAATATGAACGTTTGCCTGAACTCTTCCGCAATCTCAAAAAACGTTTTTTGGTTCTCATGTTCCAAACTTTTATCGGAAGAGACAACAAACGTTCAGAAGAAGAACAAGATATTATTTTAAACTTGTTGTATGACTTAACCGTCATAACAAGCTTTTTGAAGTAAAACCGTCATTCTCAAACCACTTCATTTTTTCGATGTCCGAACAAGCACCGAAGCCAAACTCAATGGAAGATGTCCTTTCAATGTTGCCAGACAAGCGCCCAGTTCAAATTCAAATTTTGAATTTGAAAGCTCATCTGACAAACACCGTTAAGACTCTCCAAAGTAGTCTTATGGAAGAGATGAAGGGACTTAAAGGTGAGTTCCTCATGAACCAAGCTTCCAATGAGAAATGCCTGAATGATTTGACGGAAACCTTGCGCATTTACGAGAGAGAGAACCGAGACCTTGCCAGACTCATCTACCGTTTCTTCGAAGAGATAGACGCCATCTGGAAGGTACTCGGAAAGGACAGAACATGCAACACCGTACTTCGTGAACACAGAATTGAAGAAGGAATTGTCGAGGAAGAAGAGAAACACGAAGAAGAGGAAGAGGAAGAAGAGGAAGAAGAGAAACACGAAGAAGAGGAAGTTTGGGCAACCCTTGTTGCCGATGACAGTTATGAAATTTCCCAACCCTACCCATACCAAATCCGCAACAGGGAGACCGGCAAGGTTCTTACCCCAGTCCTCAACAACTTGGGACACTTGAACCTTACCCTTCGGAATCGCGGTTCAATTTCCATGGGCAAGCTTGTCGCAATTCAATGGGTTCCAAATCCAGGCAAGAAGACGAAGGTCAGACACATTGACGGTGACAAGCTCAACAACCGTAAGGAGAACCTCGAGTGGTTCTAAGAGTAAAAAAATTTTATTTTAGGGGGAAACCCCGAGTAAATTTAGGTGTTTAGTTCATTAAGTGGGTTAAATTAAGGGTAATTTGGACAATTAGCTCCCGACCTCTGAATTGGACTCTTTCGTCATCCCAGTTGCGTAGGAGGTCGTCCCAGAGGAGTTGGTAGAATTGCCAATCCAAGGACGATTTGTCCTCCCAGGCATTGAGGATGTACTGCTCGTAGAGTTTCATGACCTCTCCCTTGCACCAGACACCCTCTCCCTTGGAACGTAAGGCTTCTTCGAAGTGCTCGAATGCGATTGGCTGCGGGACCATCTGAAATGACACTTTTTGTCCGTTTGGTCAATGTTCGTGTCTCGTGTCATAGTCGACGAAAATACAAACAAACAGGTTATATATGAGTTTGAGACCAAGAATGGTGTAACTCGACCTGTCCGATTCAAATTCGAATAAAAATTTTTTACTTCATGCAATGTTTTATTTCTGTGCCGTCTTCAAGTATGCCCCAGTACTTACGCTTGGAGAGGACATGAACTTCGGTGAAAATTTTGTCCAATTTGAATTGACCCATCTTTTCACCGACCATTCCCATTTCAATGAGTTTGTTATAGCCTTCTTCGTTCGTCATGAGTGCGTCGATGTTCTCATAGTAAACCTTGACTTTGGATTTGACTTCGGAGAAGAATTTGTTGTACTCGTCAAGGACTGCTTTTGCGAACTGAGGGTAAGACCAATGTTCGACAATAGGTTTTAATGTGGTTACTAAGCCACTTTGACCTTGAGTGAATTCGTACTTCAAAACAAAAGGAGAAAACCTTTCAACAAAGTTGTCGACCTTCTCATAATGTTTACTCTTCATCTCTTGAGGTTTCTTAATGGAATATCCCCATGTCGAATTCATAAGCAATTTGAGTGTCATTGCAAGTTTGGGGTTTGAAGCTTTCCTAATATCATA